ATCTCAGTCGTTTTTTTATCGATCGATTTAAAATTTTCACACAATAAAGTACAAACTATTCTAAAGAATTTACGTTACATCACTTCTCAATACTCACTACAAATAAAACTACAGGTTTATAACTTTTTTATGAGAATTAAGAGGGTGTTTGTTTTCAAATGCAAAAGTTGTGTTATAAAGTTTGAAATAAATATTTTGTTTTAAAACAGTGTTGTAGATAACTATGTAGGGAAGTTTTTGCAAAAGTTTCAGAATTAAACATCAAGTAGTTGCACAGTTATAACAATATTTTTATGACTCCCACGGTTAGCAGATTAGCGCGCTGCGCTCTAAAAGGCTTTATAACTCAGAAAAGTAAAAAAATCCAATTTTATTAGTGATTTATATGTAAAAAGAATTGATCTTTCGATTGAGATAACTAAAAGCAATATTAAAAATTACCATAATTCAGAGAAATTACAAATAAATTTTCGTTCAGAATTTTCACCATGAAAATGGGAAAGTTTTGGAAAACGCATAGTGCTATCGCATAGCCCGTACAAAAATCTATAGAAATCATAGTTTTCGAATTATTTTTCCTATTTTCGGTCTGCTTCGCAGCTAGACGAAAAGTAGCTTGTTTTGCACCGCTCAGGGCGCTGGGACGTGAATGACGTGAATTGCCCCCAAAATAATTTAAGAAATATTAGTTATGTAAAAAGGGGTATCTACATATGTATTGCTTTATTTTGGTACTTTTCAGTCCGATATTTGCGTGGTGGTCACACGAGGGAAACAGAACATGGATAAATAAGTATTCAAAACTTATTATTTGTATTTAAATGATAAATAACAAAATCCCTTATGTAATAAGGGAGCACTATTATATTAAAACGGCCAATAACCTTTAGAAAGTGCAATATGTATAACATGCTATTGGAACTAGTAATGTAACTAGTACGAAAGCGACAATTGTCTCCGAACCCGCTGCAGGGTATTAAAATAATTCAACGATATTAATAGAATGATGCAGACACATGCATATGCATATGTATGCATGTACATACGAGCACCACTAAGGGCCGGTTGTTCAATGTCTGATTAGCACTAATCGGAGGTAGAAGCTCTGGTTATATACAACGACTGCTTTATCGATCACATGTTATATGCATGATGTCGAAAACGTCGATAATGATGTTTAACCGGCAAGTAGTGATAACCAGACATTGAGTAACCGGCCCTTAATTTCATTTAAAACACTGATAGGCACTGCCTTGCCCGCGGGCAAAGCTCTTTTAAGCTTTCTATAAATTTGTATAGGCGCGAGCAGAGTAAAAGCTCTCCCAACCAACGCTGTTTTAAAGAAATGGCGTTTCGTCCATATCCGCTGTAGCGTACCTAATGTAGAGGTAGATGTCGCCCTATGCACTATGCATTTTTTTGGAAATTTGCAAAGCAAAGCTTTTATAGCTGTATGGACAAACAACATTGCAAGTTGATAAAAGCGTTGTACAAAATTTGAGATCGATTTTAAGCGATTGTTATTCATATACCCACATACATAAGTATGTACATACATATATTACTTTTCATATCAATTCAAGTCTATTACATGCGCCCATATGTATAATACTTCTATATTAGGCGTGTTTTATTTGACGAGAAATTTAAGCTGTTAGCTTATTTTGTATGGAAGACTTAGCTTATATAGTTATGTTGGCTAAGTATTCCATACAAACTAAGCTAATAGCTTAAATTTCTCGTCAAATAAAACACGCCTATTGGCAGTAAGCTAACTTCCCAATGTGTAAGCATTCCGAAATCTAAGCGGGACAGTCTAGTACGGCTTTTGTGTATTTAATAGGGATGTCTCGAATGCCATATTTTTCACATTCGCGAATCGTTTTTATTACTTAAAAATTTTGTAAATTATTATAACATTGAACGAGTGCTTAACCTATACAGTGTTTTAATCTTGTAGTCAAAGTTCAAGATGGCAATATTATATTTCATAAAAAGAAATTTTGCTGCCTTTTATCCCATGAGGCGATTTCTTAGAGGCTCGCATATAAGGCCGGCTGCACTAGATAATTGCTCACTTGGAACGGCGGGTGGAGCGCTCAAAGTTTTGCGACCCAGGTCTGTAAATTTGTCGTATTTTGGTTTAGTTTTCCACCAATCGAGAGGATTTTCACCGAGATGAGCCCGTTTTTCTTTAAGATAGCTATTGAGCTATTATTTCAAATTTTTGAATGTCTCCAGACTTTACATCTGAGCCTTTGCTTTCGCTGTAGGAATCTAAAATTAGTTTCGTTCCTCAACTTTTCGGGATAAAACCTGTAAAACTGTCAAAAAGCAAAATTACTCTCAGAGAAAGAGAGAAAACCCAAAAATTACGGGAACTCTTTTCGGGTACAAACTGGTAAAACTGTCAAATCTAGTGTAAACGTCAACTTTTGTTTACATAGTTGTTGATTTTCAAAATTAATGAACGCTGATTTATTGTTTATTAAAGACTAATTTACCAAACAAGAAAGGAAAATAATTACCCAAAACACCAGAGCAGCATGACAAACTAAATAAGCAGCGAACGATACGTTTCGCAACTTACGCTAGGCGCACATTGCATCCGATAGGCCGACCGATTTCGGCCAAACAATTTGACCGTCCGAACTGATGCGCACACTTAACCAGATTATTTGTCGACCGTATTTGTACACACAAATCCTAGTTTTCATTACAATTTTGTAAGCTGTGAAATATTTTGATACATTTTAATTGATATACTCTAAACATGTGATTTTATATGTAACTGTTTTGTTTTTTCACCCAATAACTTAATTTTTCGCAGTCCATTTGGTACTTTTCACCTGACATTGGACGAGAAAAACAAACATGTTTGAATTTATCGTCACTGACGGACGTCAACGGCCGATGTCGGTTCGGTTATCGGTTTATGTGTGAGAGGGCTCATATAATCACAAGTGTTTATTCATATCGCCCGCATATAGCCGATATCGGCCGAGCACAATTCGGCCGATGCCGGCTGCAGTGTGCGCGTAGCGTTAGAGGAATAAACTGGCTTATGTAGCGCTCCGCTTTGCCAACGCAACCCAAAACCCAGAAGAAAACAAAAAAAAGACTAATTTAAACAAAAAATGCACAGCCAATTAAGTGTAAACTGTTCACCTGGAACTTTTCAACGTATAGAAAGTGGTAAGCTACATAGATATGTATGTGTTTAAAGATCAGTAGTGCAATTCACTAACTTTTAAAGATATGATTTGTCGAGGTCTAATATAACGATTTTTGTGGTTTGCAGTAACGATTGTGTTATTCGGTAACTCTTTTTTAACGACACTCAACAGCTGACATTTTCTTTTTATTTCAATAAAAGAAAGGTGGCATCTCAGCTTAACGAAACCTCAAAAAATGCGAAAAGCTCAAAGAAGAATGACAAAAAACAAATAAATTCCTTGCTTTCAAAGTGGTATACGCATAGTTTTCTGAATATTTTAATATACTTTTACAAAAAGTAAGTAAAATAAAACGTTTATTTATTTTGTATTATTAGACATAACCATTTTCGCATATTATAGAATGGCTTCGTCTGTACCCAGTGTTCAAAAGAGAAGCCGGACCACAGCAGAACAACTAAGTCGCATGGTGGACTTTTTAGAGGAAACGCCAGGATTGGCAGGATCAAGGTTCCAGAAGCTTCATGGCAAGTCGGACTGCGACAAGAAGTGGAGTGAGCTAGCGTCAATGCTGAATAGCCTTGGTGGTTCGGTGAAGAACAGGGATGAAAAATGGAAATTTCAGATTGAACCTAATATCTTAAAATAAATGCACCTAAATGAGACAGATTGTACCTAAAGTAAAGTTACATCATTCGTTTGTAGTTTTTTTATTAATTTTATTTTAAATATTAATACAAAAGATGGATGTACTTTAAACTTGAGTAGATTTTTTGTTTAACTGAGCTTATATCCACAGACTATAGTCTAATGGCAATGGGAGAAGCTTTGATTTTTGTCTAATTTTGACTACTAAAAAATATTGGCGAAAAGGACTTTGTGATGTTTATTTGTATATCCAGGTTTTTATAAAGCAACAGGAAAATTCTGCTAATTTATCCGATTCCTTATATTAGGTGCGGCAAGCCTAGAGAAATTAATCGGATTTGCCGTCAGTGATTTCCAGAAATCAAAAAGCGAATATCGGTTAAATAGATTTTGTCTCACACAAAGAATGTACGAAATTTGAAGAAATCCTAGACACTGACCTGTATGGGCGAATAAAGGCCGGTTTTCATTATGTCATATTTGGACAATAAAATTTTTCGACAAATTTTGACACAAATTTCTTCCTTTATCCATACTTTTATTGATGATATTATGGGCCAAAAATTTACAAATAGCTGCTTTAGCAGCGCATGTTCACGACTGAAGACCTTTTCTGATCTAAATCAATCAAGAGACCATTTTTTACTCCCATTTGACAATTTGTTTTCACTTATTTGACCGCAAATGCCATAGAATTTGACATAGTGAAAATAAGCCTTAAAATTAATAGAAAAGTTGAAAATGCGGGAACTTTGGTTTTATGGTTTCAGTAAAAATGTATTCCAACAATTGCAAAGGTAGAGCGTTTGTAGAGTTCACAACGTCTAGGGCGCAATGACGTTTTATGGAAGAAATTCGGTCAAATTTCGAATATAACAAATATTACGAATTTGAGTATAGTTAAGCAAAGTGTAAATTTTTCGTAGTGACTGCTCTAAATACAATGTAAAATGTTTAAGAGAATGATTGTTTATTCTTCAAAATGTAAGCGAAACTTCTCCAATACCTACAAATAAATTTATTAGCACGGTAAAGGAAAAAGAAAAAAAAAAACTATAAATGGATCTGACCAGAAAAGGATTGTACATAAAATCTAGTGATTGTACCTAATGTACCTTTAAGTCATCAACCGTCGGAAAAAGGTACAATTGTACCTACATTTTCATCCCTGGTGAAGAACGTCGACCAATGGCGCACAGTATGTAAAAGTTGTTTAGTAATTTAATACCACGTTTAAAATTTTGTTTCGCAAAAAGGTATGGAGGGATTTCAAGAGCCGTACTAGTATTAAGGTGCGTGATAGAAAACGAAAGCAGGCAATGACGGGAAACAATCCCATTAATGAAGAGCCACCCACTGAGCTTGAGAGGCGTGTGATTGCCCTTGTCGGTAGCGACTATGTGCAGGGCAATGAAACTGTTGCTGAAAGTGTGCCAGTGGAAGAGGTAAAAAGCAAATAAATCGTTATGAATAGATAGATAGATAGATAGTTGGTTGGGTATGGCACTGCGACCGGTAGGTCTATTGTGCCCCTAGCTCATCACAATACATCAACCAGCCCCAGAGTGTCTATAAATTTCATAATAGACCCCGGGGACAGTGAGTGTATGTGCTCCTCTCTTGGCCAGACATGCCCTATGCTCCTATACCTCCTGCGTGCAACGGCATCACACTCCATAAGAAGGTGTAGAGGAGTCTCTTTGGCTGCATCGCAAAAGCGACACAGTTCGCTGGACCAGATACTTAATTTATGCAGGTGCCCTCTGAGCCTAAAGTGGCCCGTCAAAAAACCTGTAATAATTCTTAGTTTCTCTTTTGGGAGATCCATGAGAAGCCTGTATCTTGACAGATTGTAACCTCCTAATAAGCTTTTTGCCGGACGTTGGCCCATGGTGCCAAGCCAGTGTAATTCCCTCAGTTTGCTGTTGTCCCTCCTGAGCATTTCCTTTATGGTGTTTGGTCCTACTGCCAGAAAGGGCTCAGGTCCTATCGGGGTCGAGGAAGCGGCCATTCTGGCCAGATGATCAGCTTCCTCATTTCCTGCAACCCCCATGTGCCCTGGTACCCACATTAGTTGGATATCATTGACCTCCGCCAGAGCATTGAGCCTCTCGACACACTCCCTAACCAAGGAGGACTTGATCTCGAATTATGAGAGGGCCCTTAGTGCCGCCTGGCTATCACTTAGTATAAGTATCCTTTCATTCCTATAGTTCCTGCGAATATTAATCTCAGCGCACATACTGATGGCATAGACCTCCGCTTGAAAGATGCTAGGGAAAGTCCCCAGGGACACCGAAAGCTTCAGCCTAGGGCCGTACACGCCTGCTCCGATCCCTGCGGGTGTTTTAGAGCCGTCAGTGTACCACTGTATTGTGCTCGCCTGTATGTGGCTCTCCATAATAGAGGTACACCAGGTCGCCTTGCTATAAGTGTGGGTCCTGAAATTTCTCTTGAATATCACCTCTCTGTTGATATCGTCCCTGGGGAACAAAGCCAGGGGGAGCTGGGTGCCTAGCTTGTCCCTGTTCCTAGATGATAACACCTTGCCTTTGCCGAAGCCCTCTCTCGCAAAGTTAAGGAGGGTTCGCTTTGCAGCCTGTTCAATTGAGAGATGCAGTGGCTCGAGTTCCAGCATTACCTCTAGCGCTGCCGTCGGGCATGTGCGCATTGCTCCCGTAATGCAAACACATGCCAGACGTTGAATCTTGGAGAGGGTCTGCCTCACCGTTCCTATAGTAGTCCTGGAATACCAAGCCACCGCACCATAAGTCACTATTGGTTTCACTATCATTGTGTACATCCATCTGAGGATCCTCGGAGTGCACCCCCAGGATTTACCCGCCAGACGTTTGCACACCATCATCGCTCTCGTGGCCTTAGAGGTGACCGCATCTACATGGGCCCTCCACAGAAGCTTGGAGTCCAGGGTAAGCCCCAGATACCTAACCTCTGTGGCGACACTGATTGCGACCCCGTCCAAGATCAAGTTCCTCATCCCCTGGAGATTTCGTTTCTTGGTGAAGGGGACTATGGCTGTCTTAGAAGGGTTGATATTTAGACCTACGTCTGTGCACCACCTTTTCGCAAGGTTAAGTCCTTTTTGGACGATGTCACAGAGACTACTTGCGAACTTCCCTCTAGCGATAATCACTATGTCGTCCGCGTACCCTTGGCAGCGGACGCCCTCGTTAGTGAGTATCTGTAGGAGTTCGTCCACAACTAAGCTCCACAGTAGAGGAGATAATACCCCCCCTTGTGGGCACCCTTTAGTCGTTTGTATTTGAACGACGCTGTCACCGACTTCAGTTTCGGCAATCCTGGTCTGAAGTAACCTTGCTATCCATCTTCGGATGGTTGGCTGAACGTTATGTTTCCCAAGAGCTCTGTCGACTCCCAAATGGGAGGCGTTATCGAAGGCCCCCTCGATATCGAGGAAGGCACAGAGCACCACCTCATCACACTCAAAGGCCCCTTGTATTTCCTCCGTTAAGGCATACAGCGCAGTATCCGTGGATCTCCCCACCCTGTACGCGTGCTGGTTGGAATGCAGAGGGGTTTGTTTTAGAGTGTTATACCTGATTTCATGGTCAATAATTTTCTCCATTGCCTTTAACATAAAGGATGTGAGACTTATCGGCCTGAATGACTTGGCAAGAGAGTAATCCCTCTTACCTACCTTCGGGATAAAAGTAACCCTAGCCCTTTGCCACACCTTGGGAATGTGAGCCAGTGCTAGACTGTCCCTCATAATGTCCACCAGATGTGGCAGTAAGAGCTCCCCGCCCTGCTTTAGTAACGCCGGACATACACCATCCACCCCAGGGGCCTTGTACCGTTCGAAGGAGTCCAGAGCCCACCGCACTGTTTGCCGGTTTATAAGGCTTCTAGCCACCTTCCAGTCCGGTGGGGATGGCCTGAACGCACGGAACAACGTATCCCCAGCGGTGGGAATGGCGTCCGGAAAGTGGGCCGATAGCAGGGCGAGTGCCCTCTCCTGTTCATTACCTGAAAAGGCCCCATTAGGTAGCCTAATAGCCAGTCTGGTCCCTGTGTTGTCTCTCGCTAAGGCTTTATGCAGCCTAGCAGCTGCAGGAGTAGATGCGATATTCTCACAAAAGGTTCTGAAGCTGCTACGCTTGGCCTTCCTAATCTCCTTATTGTATTTTGTTAGACAGACTGAGTACTCCTCCCAGCTCCCGGTGCGCTTTGCCCTGTTGAAAAGTCTTCGCACATCTTTCCTAAGAACTGAGAGTTCCCGTGTCCACCAGGGAGGCTGAGCTTTCCCTTTTGGCTTTGACACGGGACAGCTGGAGGTAAAGGCATCCAGAATGGTGCCGTTCAGCTTGTTGACCCTGTCCTCTAACTCCATACAATCCACCTTTCTATGTTGTGCCTCTATTCTGCTTAGGTTCAACCTAAGTACCTCTTCATATTTATCCCAGTCTGTTTTCCTGGGGTTCCTCTTTGGGTGACCTGTCAGAACCTCAGCTCCCAGTGCAAATCGGATAATCCTGTGATCCGACAGTGAGGGCTCAGATGAGACCCGCCACAGAACGATCAGAGGGCTGGCCAGTCTGTTGCTGAGAGTGATGTCGAGTACCTCCTCTCTGACCCTGGTTATGAACGTTGGTTCATTACCGACATTATGGATGCACAGGTCTTCACTGATAATATATTCTAATAAGCACTCACCCCTACGGTTTGTGTCCGAGCTGCCCCACTCTATATTGTGGGCGTTCGCATCGCAGCCAAGAATCGCCGGAAGTCGTTTCCTGCGGCAAAATTCCAGCAGCTGCTGTACCTCAAGAGGCGGCACGTTGGCGTTGTCCCCCGGAAAGTAGGCTGCAGCCAAGACCACCTCCAGTTCCTTCCCGTTGACCCTTAAGGTAGCTTGGACCGCTACCAGATCCTGTGTAAGAAATTCTGTAATGCAAAAGTAATTAATATTATTCTTTAGCACTACGCACGCTCTGGGCCTCTCGCAGGAAAGGTCCCAAATTACCTTATTGTTGTTATGATTGAGGCCCCTCACCTGGCCTCTGTAGGTCCACGGTTCCTGTATCAGTAGGATTCCCAGGTCCTCCGTGGCAAACCTGCTTGCAATGATCGCCGAGGCGGCCACCGCATGATGCAAGTTGACCTGGGCTACTGTTAGCGCTGTTGGGCTCATAGTTGGGGCTCGTCCTCGATGTTCGAGATCCGTGCCTCACCCTCGCCCTCTCTGTCGAGTTCGAGCCTGCCTATGTCCGCTAGGAGCTCCTGTGTGGTGCGCACGTAGTCAGTGGCACTTGGCCCGGGAGCACTCACAAGAGCTGGTGCCTGTGCTAATTCCGGTAGCTGATCTTCCAGTGGGGCCGTGGTCGACTCGGTCGCTGGGGCAGCAGTGGAGTCAGTAGCCTCGTCGACTTGCATGTCTTGGGACTCTGACTCCTTGCTGCCTGTCGTCTTATGCCGCCATGGCCGCACCGTAACATAACTATAACGGAAGTTGATTGTGAATCCGGCCCTCTTGATGCTGACATACGACGCCTCATCGATCCCCAGGTTGAGCCTGAGACCGCTGTCTTCGGCGCCGCATGAAACCACCATCCACGCAGCCGTGTGGATGTCCTCATTCTGGGCCTTGACGAGCCCCAGCACGTACTCAGCCGATTTCTCGGCGCATCTTGGGAAGAACACCGAGATATTATGCACCGGCGGTATATCCTCCCCCCTCTTGGTACATAACGCGGGCCCCTCCCATCCCTCAATGTTTGGTGCCTTATCTACCAGCCATGCTGCGATCCGCTCATCCTTGCAGTCCACAAGGAGCATGCCTGACCTGAAGAATACCCCACAAAAGACCAGTGCGTGCTTCCACCCTTTAAGGACCTCATCCATGATGGCGTCCTGGAGTTTGGTCAGGTCCTCAGGGCTTAGGGCAGCAGCAAGGTAATCACAGGGCAGTACAGCCACCCGGATGCCTTTAAGAGCATCCGAATAGCTAGGCTGCTTAGTGATTCCCTCCTGTGGCTGACCCTGGCCCTCGGACCCATCCAAGTCCCTAGACTCTGTTGGAGGGGGTGGGAGCCCCCGCGGCCGTTTGGGGGACGGTGGCTCAGGTGGTGTGACCGGTAGGCTGGTGCGTTTTGGAGTAGCTGTTGTTGAGCCTGTTATGGTACCTGTGGGTTCCCCGCTTCTCCGCCATTTGGCGGGCGCGGGTCTCTTTTGCTGTTGCCCGTTTCTCTGCTTTTCAGCAGGCGCGGGTTTCTGATGGTGTTGCCCGCTTCTCTGCTTTTCAGCAGGCGCGGGTCTCTGCTGCTGTTGCCCGCTTCTCTGCTTTTCAGCAGGCGCGGGTAGTTCACCTCTCTGCCGCATACCAGCGGTTGCAGCCGTCTTACCACTCTCTTGTGCCTCTTTCTCCACCTCTTGTCTTACTTCCGCCATTGCGCGGGCTACGCTCGGCTTCTTCCCCTGCCCCAGGTACCGGAGATACCACTTGACTACCGACCCACCAAGACCAGCTCGATGGTGGTCGTCAAGGGCTTCCGGTTGACCGGAGGGCGGAAGTGGAGGCGGTCTACACCTGCGGCTTCTCTTCTTGCTGTCTTGCAGCTGCCACCCTGACTCGAGCGATGAGGTTCGACTAGGAGACCTGTGGTGCCTACTGCTAGAGTGGTGCCCACTGCCGGAGCGATGCCTGCTCTTCGAGCGATGCCGACGCTCGGATCGGCCTCGGCTCCCAGAGCGGTCATGGCTCCCGAAGCGGTCACGACTCCTGGAGCGACGCCGACTGGCCTCTCGGTTCCTGCTTGGAGATCGGCGCCTATTTTTTGAGGCCAGAGCCTCTGCTCCCTTGGTGCCCTCCGACCGAAGCTGCGCCCGATCCACGCCGCCACTGCTAGTGCTTGGCCTCTCATCTTCTCTGGCGTGTTCAATAAAAAGGGCAGCCTCCTCCTCGGAGAGGCTCGCAAGAAAGCCTCCCCTGCGCCTGGTGCCTTTACTTTCGCCCAGCATAGTACTGCCGAGCTTGGCCGTTGGTACCTCTGGTGCCACTGACATAACTATCTTCGTGGCTGCTGCTGCTGTTGTAGCTGTAGTTGTGACTGTTGTAGAAAGTTTTGCTGATGTTGTGGCTGTTGCAGCTGTTGTGGCCGTAGCTGTAGCTGTTTTCGCGGATTTCGCGTTGGTTTTTGTTGTTTTTGTGTTCTTATGGTTTTTAGTTGTATTCATCTTGTTCGTACGACTACCAGCTCGGCTAGGCAAGCTCAGCAGTCAAAGTTGTAAAAGGGGATCTCACCTGGTCCGCCGCGCCAGCGCCCCATGTCGCGGTAAGGCCACCGTTACTCCTCGATGCGGCCCGGTGTCGAAGAGGCGCCGTTATATTACAGCCGGTTTATTCCCTCCTGGCTGCAAACCGTCCAATAGGCACGGTGTCGCGTAACACCCTGGATTAGGAGGTGGCAGTTCTTGGTCACCGTTTGCCGGCAGCCCAAATTTGGGGACAAGGTAGCGCAGAAGCGACGAGCGCGTCCACGATACCCCAGACCAGAGATGGGCTGATCGGCAATTCAGCTAAGCCCCCGCACCAACGACAAGGTGCCTGCCCTAGCGAGGGATCGTTATGAATAGCACAGCAGTTAACAATTCTTCCCATCAATAGGAACTCCAACTTCGTATGGAAGAGGGTGATGAAAATGTCATCATAAAGATGGCATCTATTTTCCACGAAGTCAGTATTGAGATGTGCACATCGACTCCTGTAACTCCTGCAGGAAAAACGCCTCGTAGAGGTGCAAAAAGAAGGCGTGTGGACGTTGGTACCGAGGCCCAAAAAACGTTTTTGGAAATTGTTCAGACCCAAGCAAATGCCTTAAAAGTAATTTACATTTTTGTAACTTTACATAAGTAAAATTTTATGACATAATTTTTTCGGTTATTTTTCAACAGATGCTAGCAGAGTCGAGTGCAGCGAATGTACAAATAGCAAGTAGACAAGCAGATGCTTTGAAGGTAATTTTTTGTACATACTAAAAAAAATAGTATTACATTCGTATGCTCTTTCAACAGTTGTTAGCTGAAACAAGTACGGCGAGTGTGCAGGTAGCGAAATCGTTGGCCGAAGCTATGAACACAATGGGGGAAGGTTTAAAGGCATGTGCGGATGCCTTTAATAATTTAACAAACGCTATCTACCGCATGTAAATATTGTGTAAATATGTAGTTTTTGAAGTAATTTTTTGTTTTTATATTTATGTTAGTTTTAAGCGTTTTAAATGTAAGTTGAAGTTCTTTTTTGTTTTTATATTTATGTTAGAGTTAAGTTTTAATTCGACATAGCCTGAAGTTAACTTTTTACATTTAGAATAACTGTTTAAGATATTCGAAGAAGAATTTTAACAAATTTGAATTGATCTTTATTTGTTTTTAATAAGCGAGTTATTTGAAGTTCTGTTGATTTTCAAATGAATTCAATGTTTACAAATTTAGTTGATAGAGAGGTATACGGTCTTACTGCATGTAAGATATACCACATATATTTCTTATATACAATAAGTAATGAAATTTCATTTTGTGAATTCATGTTTTAATTTTGTGATGCGCCTGTAACATAAAAATGTTTAATAAAATGCCAAAACAATTTCATTGTATTCCTTCTGAATTTTTATTTATCAACGTTTTATTCACGTAAAATAATTTGCAATTAGCCGGGCGCGTCTTGATTTACATTACTGCTATGTGTCCTTGGCTCTAGGAACTCAGTCTGGGGATCGTATGTTTGGTCACCCAATCGCAAGTTATGCAACACTGTGCATGCATTTACTACTTTTCAAATAAATCCAGGATCATACAAAAGAGTCCTTTGCTGAGATAAGCATCGCCAAGTTCCTTTGGGAACGCCAAAAAGTCTCTCGACTGGGTTTCGAGCTTTGCATAATGCCTCATTGTAGCGGAGTTTAGGACTCCCTTCTGCTTGGTTAGGTAGAGGAGTCATCAACCACGGCTCCAAGGGATATCCTGAGTCACCTGCAAATATATATTCGAAATTTTCAATTAAATTGATTTTAATAAATAAGTTTCAGTGGATTTAAAAAGTTACCAATCAAAAACATGTTATGGTTTCCATTTTCAAAACTTCGCTGCATAACTCTCCGGACTGCAGAGGAGCTCCAAATAAATGAATCGTGTCGCGGTCCTGGGTATTTAGCATTGACAGCCAAAATCTTTAGATTTGGATCACATATCTATATTTGTATAAAATAAAATTAATTCTCAGTAGTTTAACCCGTGAGCAAATTTTACTTTTACAATTTGCACATTGATAGAATGGTATCCATGGTGGTTGACATACGCTTCTTCATGATGTTTTGGGCTCATGATTGACACATGAGTGCAATCGATAGCCCCAATAGTACCTTCTACAAATGGTGCGGATGCTGAGGCGAAAATTTTTTTTGCAGCATGCCGCTCTATTTGGGTCATTGAATACCTAACCTTTGCCAAAAACATGGTGCGGTTTATTGCATCCGTTACGCGATGTATACAGCGACTTACGAACGACTGGCTTATGGATATCCCCCATTGTTGATAACAGCCAGTTGCGAAGAATCGCAAGGCAGTTAGAACCTTTAAAATTTACAAAAGCATTTAAAATTGAAAAATACTTGCAAATTACATTATTTACCTGTTTCTCTTTCGTTATCGCAGTTATTCTTCGACCCCTTAATTGGCTATCAAGCTGGGAAACAATATCTTCAACCAAGTCTGGGGTTAATCGGAACTGATGAAGGGCTTATTATCTCCTCATCTTGGGATAAAACGTATGCAAAATACTCAAATGCCATTTTTAACAAACAATTTTTCTTTTATATATTACTTAAGTAAATTCGCGATCTATATTATTTTATTTTAACTCAAATGAAATATCAAATTTTCTTTTGTCGATGCCGCTAAAAACTTCAAAATATTCGTCGTTAACTTAACGAGTAATCGAGTAGTAAACGACAACAACTGATCAAGCGATAGCGAATATCGTTAAAATATGTTTAGCGAATTGTCAAATCGTTAAAATCGTTGTTAAGTTTTCTTAACGATTCGATAATTATCGATTATAACGATTATAATCGTTAAAATAGAATGGCGAATCCCACTACAGAAGGAGTAAAGCTATCGTGATCGGTTATTTATTTGTACAATGATTTTGGGTTGTTGTGTCCAAACGCGTTAAGCCTTAATTTACAACAGAGATTTCAAATTCCATTAATAGATTCGGTTTGAAATATGCACTATTTGTAAATTTCGATGTGCGTTCTGCGCAAAAATTCTGTGGATGGCGTAGCCAGAGTTATACGCAAAAGACATGTTGTATACCTTCGACATTAGCAACACAGAAAGGGGAATTATACTTAGTAAGGATTAAAACCCCTAAGCGCGCCCGAAGGCCGCCTACTCATAAAGAAGTTCTGCGCAAAAATACACTCCGCACCATAACACAAAATCATTTTACTAAGCATTTCCCAAGCTATCGTTTAATTATTTTGATGTTCGCAGATGAAAATTATAGGCTGCAAATAATTGGCGAGGTTCTAAAGGACCAAGACAGCACGAAGCTGATGCTATCGTTGCTGCAGGAGCTTCAGCCGAAGGTGAGGAAATCGGTGCAAGTAAAAAATAAAACCAAGATGTGGAAGATTATAGAGGAGAGAATGGCGTTTGAGGGCTATAATTTTTCAAGCGTACAGATTGAAAACAAGTTTCGCGGCCTGGAGGGACAATTTAAAAAGCGATGCTGCATAATAGGCGAACGGGCAGCAACAGGGAAACTTGTCCTTATCAAAGGTTTGTAATTTAAACCAGAATAAAATTATTGCTTTTATTTTTAACATATTTTATTGTTATCTAGTGAGTTGAATGATATTTTGGGGAAAAGGCATTCAGTAAACCCCAGTTATTCCTTGCAAAGTACAGACGTAACCGAGCCTTATTTGTCCGAGAGCGCTTCCGACTTGGATCAAACAATGCAAGGTAGTGCTTTTTGGTAACATATCGATGGCTGAGTGGAAGATCGACCTATCTCGGCAGCCAGTTCGAAAACGCCCTATCTCAGAAAACTTTTCAAGAACGCCCTACTTCAGAATTTTACTGAAAAACAACCTATTTCAGAATTTTATTGAAAAACACTCTATCTCAGAATTTTGTTGAAGAACGCCCTATCTAAGAATTCGGTTCAAAAACGCCCTATCTCAAACGAAAATACATTGAAAATAAGCTGAGATAGGGCGTTTTTGAATCGGCAGCTGAGATAGGGCGTTATTCAACAAAATTCTGAGATAGAGGGTTTTTCAATAAAATTCTGAAATAGGTTGTTTTTCAATAAAATTCTGAAGTAAGGCGTTCTTGAAAAGTTTTCTGAGATAGGGCGCTTTCGAACTGGCTGCCGAGATAGGTTAATCTTCCACTCAGCCATCGATATATGGTATATCTGGTATATATTTTGTATTTTAATATTTTGTATTTTTGTATATTTGGTATTGTTATTTATTTCGCATATAATTTAATTTATTTAATTTAATATTATATTGAAAACATTAGTGCATTAAGATGTAATCTTTGCTTGCACAATGATACAAACAAAATGCAAAAATAAAATAAAAAGTACAGATAATAATTAATATTACAATATAGATTAAGGTAATGTATACGTTGAATTACAAATCATATATTCTAAAATAAAACAAAGGTAAGCTTATAACCACTATTCTTGATCACGCTTGGAAGAAAAAAAGTTAAATATGAGTTTTTTGAAGTTGCCTATGTGCAACGCGTTCTTCAAGGACAGTGGAAGGGAGTTCCAGAGCCGTACCGCATTAATAAAAAACAGTCTTGAAGTGCATAAATAATTAAATCTCGGAAGAATAAGACCTGACGAACGTGTACTCTTAGAGAACTTAAGTTTATTGTACAGATATTCCGGGCTCTTCGTGATAAATAATTTGAACATAAAAATGCAATTACGCGCGTTCAGAAAATTTTGTAAATCACAGCCAAGTATAGAATTACGCATAGATGAGAGATGATCGTATTTCTTTAAACCAAATACATACCTTGTGGCAGAGTTAATGGCGATATTCAATTTTTGGAGTGAATGAGAGTCTAATTTGCCGTAGACGATTTGACAGTACGTGATATAAGGAACAATTAAACTTGTAATTAACTTTTTCTTAGTGGCTACCGGTACATAAGGTGAAGTTACTCTAAGACATCGTAGAGTAAAAAATATTTTACTCACAACTTCATTAACATGATCATCACACGCAAGTCTGGAGTTAATAACGAAACCCAAATTCCTGGCTTTGTCAACTAATTTAAGCTGGTTTGCACCAATAAATAAGTTGGGAATATCCGATGCCAAAAATTTATCTTTAGCGACAGGTATTACACAAGATTTTTGAGCATTGAGGCAAAGTAAATTCTCCCTAGACCATGCAAATATTGAGCTTAAGTCCTCGTTAAGTTGTAGACAAATATCCTGAATCGATCCAATTTTATTAGAAACATACAGCTGCACATCATCGGCATAGGCGTGTAAGCGCGCATGAGTGCAGGTGCTGAAAATGTCATTTATGAAAATGCTAAACAGAAGGGGGCCCAATATGGATCCCTGAGGGACACCAGAGTATATATGCACGAGGTTAGAACAATTATTGCCGATTTTCACTTTTTGAAACCTGTCGCTCAAATTGCTCTCTATGAGTTTTACTGCAGACAAAGTAGTGTTATATGACCTTGATCGAATGGCTGACGTATATCGTCTAAGACTTTAACAACAGCAGTAGAACAGGAGTGACCAGCTCTGAAACCACTCTGCAGAGGGTTTAGGGGTTTATTTTTATCAATGAAGTCAGATATTTGCTGCCCTAAAAGCATCTCAAAAACCTTAGAAAGTCCTGTTAATATACTTATGGGCCTGAATTCACAAATCAGAGAGGCACCAGGTTTTTTGGCTATTGGTGTGACATTTGCTACTTTCCACTTGAATGGAAAGCACGAAGTGGTTAAACAGTGATTGAGTATGTGTGTAAAGCAAGCGAGAATGTAAGGCAAAATTAATTTGACAAACTTTATCGGAAGCTCATCATTCCCCACAGCATTAGATTTAATACTGCATACACATCTGGCCACTTCCTCCTCGCAAACGGAACTAAATTGAAATCTCGAGAGGATGTGTTGGTCAGAAGACGAAGAAGTGGTATTTGTTACAGACGTGT